ACACTGATTTTTTACAAGGAATACATATTCTATTCATACGAACCTTTTCTAAAAATCTTGTAGGCATTAAATAACCTATTGAGGTTGATATGCAAAGAAAAAAAAACAAATCAAACCAAGGTGGACAGAACAGGGAATGGGCCGACTGGAAAATCATTCACGGAGACTTATTTCAGTTTTTAAACAATACCAGTTTCAAAATACAAAGACTATTTGCTTCCTTTTATAACTAGATTCAGTTTGCTGTTAGTAGACACGAAGAAAAGAAAATAATAAAATTCAATCATCATCATAATGATGATGATCATCATGTATGAACATTAGCACGCAACCGAGGCATATGCAGGGAGCTGGTAAAGCGATCATTTGTAGAGCTACCCTCCGACTACACCCGGTCATAGGATTGATGATGATGATGGTGAGGGGGGGGTAGTAGCAGTAATGATGATGATGATGATGGTGGTGATGGTGATGATGATGATGATTGCATTTTGTTCTTTCCTTTTTCGGCCATCTTTCAACCAGTTTCATGCTTACAGGCTCCCAGAATTTTAAAAAGAAATCCTTCTGATCAATGACCCTAGGTATGTCTATTTTCTTTTACAGTTTTTCAAGCAAATTAAATTTGATGGAATATTACGCCTTTCTACTAACGAATTCCGGACCCTTTCCGTTGCCTGCTGCTTCCAATTATTCTAAACATGACTAAGTTTACGGCCAAACCAATACGATATATAAACCAAGCGTTTTCAGATTAATAAGCGTAAAAAAGCGGAAAAACCGGTAAAATAAAAATAAGTAAATAAATACATAATTTAATGATAAACAGATCACTGTTTTTATGTCTCTTCTAAGCTTTCATGTCTGCAACATGAGGTTTTAATTAAATGTTTCATCACTTCCTGAGATTTTCTTATATATAAGAACGCACACTCCAGTTTTGTTGAGATTTTCCCCGGTTGCGTTTGTGTTTGTGCTCAGCAATGAGAGTGGAATGAACAAAAACCCTAACCTTGAAAAAAAATTTACGGGAGAATGGGGTTTGCCAGTTAACAAAATAGTTGTTTTTGTTCAGATGGATTTCTCCGCCAGTTTCCACCGGAGGAACGAGAAATCCGAGACTAAAACTGCTACGACAGGGCTGGTCTTCTGCAGCTGGGGTTGTGTGTAGTTTTCCTTTGGTAGATGTCTCGAAGAGAGATTTCTCCGCCGGTTCCCGTGGGAGGAACGAGAAATCTAACGTTAAGTTGCTAGAACAAGCCTCCTTTTCTGCAACAAGAGTTGTGTATAGCCCTTCAAGCTAGGTTTGAAGGTTGCGACCGTTGAAAAATGAAAAGTGTGAAAAAGTCCGAATAGGGCTCGGTCAAGGCTTTTATGGCCTCTAGGACTTCCTGTTGTACCATGCTGATTATTTCCGCTGCTGTCGTTGCTAAAAAGTAAGGAAGCCGCTACATTCCACAATAGCCAACAAGTGAGATAGTTTTTATACTTTCGTTAGATTGACAAACAAAAACAGATGGACAGAGACATAACCTTAGAGACGATACCCTGGTTAAGCTCTATTTTTTTCTTTACGGGGTATTTAAAACCAAGATTTAATTTTCTGAAATTCTCAGAAGACAGACCCATATTAACACTGGAAATACATTATTTTTCTTGTAAAGATTCACATTTTTTTTAGTTTAGATTAATAGAATTTGCAACCAAACAGAATGACATATCGTAATGGCGATGCATGCATCACTGTATTTTTTTGACCTTTCATAGGCAAATCACCCAATGCATTATTTAAATTTAATGTCTGATCCTATTTTTCGACAGCTTCCGTTAATAAGTTTGATCGTAGTAGTTTGGTCATAAGTTTGATCGTAGTAGTTTGGTCATAAGTTTGATCGACGTAGTTTGGTCATATGACGCATCATCTAATTTATTGACCAATGGAAGCACTCTATATTTCATAGTTACCAGAGCCTCTTTCAAATCCTCCATTGTAAAGTCGGTTTTAATGCATGGTACCACTGTTTGAACATTAACTAAAATCCTTGTGTCTAAGCTTGATGGAACCTACACTCAGATACTGAGAGCTATTTTTAACATCTCTTGGAGACAACACTCAGCTAAATCACAGCTCAATGGACCTATCCCTGGTATTTCTACTATCTTACGTGAACGCAGAATGCGCTCTCCAAGACACTGCTGTCGAGCAAAACAAGAATGCGAGTGATCTCCAGAGCTGGACACGTAGCCATGGCGCAATAAGGGTTATGTTATGACGCAGGATGCCACCCTAATGACCTTCTGACCTTGATGCGATACCATGATTGACTCATGAATGTCCGAGTCGAGCTAGCTTTCAAATCCCCCAAAACTAAGGGGTGTTCCAATAACTTGGTCCGATTTTTAATGTGAATTAAGTTTAAGCATCTAATGAATTTTTCTTTTTCTTTCAGATTTGGTGGACATTTGGGTGATATTATTTTTCACTCATAAATGCCATAACATGATCCAATAGGGAAATAAATGTTCACCAATAACACTGATTTATTTACTGCTGGTTTTGATCCGTCTTAATGAAACACCCTTATATATAATCCGTCTTAATGAAACACCCTTTATAAATAGCCAGAAGCCTAACGGAAATGATCTTTCTCTCTCAACAGCAATCACGCCCCGACTACAGACAATATGACGAGCAGCCCAAGATGTAACGAGCAATTGTAAGAAGACAGAATTCATGGTCGGGCATTAATAGGAACAAATCAAGATGCAAGCCCCAAATCAGGGATGTCAAAATCAAGCAAGTTGGGAAATGTAAATATCTGGGAAATTTTGACACAGAAATCCGAAGTTCTCATTGGGATAAAGAAAGATGCCTTCGAAATACTAAACAATGCATTAAGATACAGAAAGATTTCTTTAGAAACAAAGAGTGCTTTATGCCTATGTAATATCAATCCTGTACGGCAGTCAGTGCTGGATAATTTCCTCACAGATGAAGAGGGAACATGAGGTAACAGAGGTGTGGTTCTACAGAAGTATGCTGAGACTAACATGGATTAGGCATATGAGCAATGAGGAAGTTTTAAGGATCAGAACCTCATCATCATCCCCTTGACTTTTGTAATCGTATAGAAGGATCCAAATGCAGAAGTCACACTAACTCTTTTCCAGAACGATCTATCAACGGCAGCCGTCGGTAATTCTGGTACAGTCATACTTGTCTATTGTTTGACATTGACCAACAGTTTTTTGAGTTGGCGTCTTCTCCCACGTCCACCTTCAATGGTGCCTTGCATGGTTGTCTTGCACAGTCTGTCGTGCCTTGTAATCACGCCATTTTTTCTCCGTTTGACAGTGGCGAGAAGAGGTTCCTGATGCCCCACAAAACTTTCACTTCTCTTCCACACAAACCCATTGGTTTTATGTTTCCAATAGAAGATGAGTCATGCATTTGTTTTCAAACACTTGGCTCTTTTCTCTGCATCTGCCAACAGTGTCTACGATTCACATCCATATAGGAGAATACCATTTGTATATATATATTTATATATATATATATATATATATATATATATATATATCCTGTCTTTTGAATTATAAGAATAAACATCTTTCTATCATACTGTGCGATATTCAGTACTAAATATATGCCAACATTGTCCACGTTTCACACCAATATAGAAGAATGGAGACTATCAGCGATTTGTATAGCCTGTACTTTGCTTGAAAGCTGATTTTGCTTTTCCATATTCTTGCCAATTTGGCCATCGGTTAAGGATAATCTCTATCTACAAAAAGCAGGATGTGTGTGTGTGCGTAACGAACGCACGGCTGCAATTTTCGACGGATTTGCACCAAAAATTTACATGCACATGCTCCAAGACCGACCTTGCATTTTCCAGCTCCCATCGATATTGGAAATAATCGATTTTTTCATGCTTCTACGGCACTTTTCATGTAGTTTGCGGCCATTTTGTACTGGCCAGAGTGAGAGCCAATAGCTGGCTGCCACGAATAGGCATGAAGATTCTATTGGCCAGCGTGAGAGTCAGCAGCTGACTGACACGAATGTTAACTAGCATGCTAGCATGCAAAAAAAAAAAAAATCGATAACTGCATTCGTCACAAGTAGGAAAATTTTAAATATGCATGGCACTTTACTCCAATTGGCTCATTCGCTTGCTTAAACTCAACGTTGATTCTGATTCCACAGAACTGGGTTGGATGTGAAAAAGTATTTGTTGTTAACATTCTTTTTTCATTCGGTTTTTCCAGTTACGAGTCCTTTTTTAAAGCTGATCGTTTTGTGTTCATTTTGTTTAGTTCTTTTTTCGTAACAGATTTAATCTTTAGTATAGAGCCTAGAAAAAATTCGCAGTGTGAGATAGGAAAGAAGTAAGGCATGTAGCAACATCATCACGGAAAAGAGCACCCCTTTAAAGGCAAGGAAGGGCAAAAATATTTTAAGTCAAGTGATAGCGATTGCTGTATGAGTCGTACGATTTTTGAATCAAGCAACGCCGGGCCATGCTGCTAGTGAAAAATAAAAATGACACTCATACTTCGAATTAGACAGTGACAATCAAGATTTTTAGAACAAATAATCAGAAAATAAGGCTTGGAGAATTTGACATTGACAAGACATAATAAATACAATAGGGACAGAGGAAACAACGAGTAACCTACTCAAAGGGCCTGTATAAATGGGTAGATTGCTTGCTTGCTTGAATTCTTTTTTACGGTTTAGCAACGTTTTGCATGTTATCTAAGGCCTAAAAATATTTTTAGATTTTAGGAATTGCTTTTTGGTGGGGAGATAATCATGATTTTCTGGTACAAGTCCTACTAATTAACCCATAGCTAGAGGAGAAGATGAGAATTCATGCCTTTTCCAAGGGTATTTGCACATAAGTAAATTTAACAAATCTGACTGGAATTACAACTCGGTTAACAATTAACAATTCCGAGTCATTATCTCTAATGCTACTCGCAGATCCAAGCTTACAGCTACTGGTATTCCTAAGCGGTTACCCATCTAGGTACTGACCAGGCTCGATGTTGCTTAACTTCGGTCATCGTACGAGGACCGCTGTTTCAACGTGATACGGCCGTAAGTCCAAATGGCTAGGAGAATAGGGATTAGTAGTGATAGTATAATATAAACATAGCTAAGAGCTATTGGAGGTTGTCGAGAGCCACGATCGTCCACGTCCAGAAGTGACATAACTCATAAAAGAAGAAACGGTGAAATTTGGGGATCAGACAAAGAAAGGCTTTGAGCTGTCAGTAACATTTGATCAGTAACAATTGTCTCTCCTTATAGTTACAACTAGAAAGACCAGTGATAATTTCTTAAGTTAATGATTGAATAAGCTCATTGTTCTACGACAATAAAATATCTGTAGAAATTTCCCTAACCCATCGTTGAATATTTGAGCTTAACAACTTTAACAAAATATTGCAATAAGAATCATAAATATGAATGTTGGTCGTTACTTTAAGAAGTTGGTAGAAATGAAAAGATTTGAAATTAACAACTTTTTCCATTTTCACTATTTACATTATCTTTGTCGCCATATTTATTACAACGTTTCGGCCGTTGTACGCTTCGGCTTTCTTCAGGTGGTTGAAATGTCGAACTGAACCCTTTATTTCGCTCACTGGGGTAGACTGTTCTAGTTCCACGTGCCATGTTTTTTAATGGATGTCAGTTATCAGTTATCCCTTGTTAATTCCCTTCTCCAAGTTCTCCACCGCGTTAACCGGGTATTGAACTCACACTCTTTGGGTCTTGTCACTGGATCTAACCAACGCCTTTATCCACTATGCCATGTGTCCTTGAGGACATCTGTGTATATGTGTCATACTGCAATTTTTGTTGTTATCATTGCATGTTTCTATTTTGCGGAAGGGCGTCTCGGCGTGGTATAATGGTTAGCAAGCTGGTTTCGCTAAGACAACTACTGACTAGTGAGTTCGAGCCTTACTGGTTACCCCGTACTTTCGGCGATGTGCCACGCTTATAAAATCAATATGGGCACCACGGCGTAATGGAGTAATGGTTAGCAGGCTTGTCTCGCTAGGTTAGTTGACTGAAAAGTGAGTTCGGTCCTCACTAGGTGCTCCATACTCTCGGCCTTGTGCCACATCTAAGTAGTGTCTTTCCTTGCAATCAAAAACGTAATAGTCCATTATTTTTTAGGTATTGGCAGGAGACGTTAAACACTTCCTTCTTAATTTCTTTACTCCCTTCCTTCTTTCTTTCATGTTCTCACTGAAACCAAGTAGTGTCTCCCCCCCCCACTTTCCTTGCTATCAAAACCGCAAAACGTAATAGTCCATTATTTATGAGGTATTGGCTGGGGGTAACGGTCGTGCGAGCTAACGAAGCGAGGAACAAGCAATGGAATAAATTTTAAAGACGGGCTCTTTGAACGGAGGCTTTTTTTTTTATTTCAACTGTAATTATTGATGATAAAATTGTAGGTCATTAAGTCTTTGTTTAATCCAACAAAATAGTTAACAGCACAAAGTATAAATAACCACGGGGATTATTGCTATGACACTAAGTAAAGAAAAGTAAGACGGAAGGATTAACATTCAATTTTTCCACTACCGCAACGTAGCTTCTCTGTGAGTTTTCTATAAGTATCTTCATCGTAATTGTTCAGATGAACTTTCCTCGATGGTACCTAGACTTTATGAATTTAAATGCAGTTTCTGGTGTAATGGATCGGAACATTTTCTAAATAATGTAGGAGAACTGTGGCATTGATAATGGTGTCTACAGTGTTACCTTGGTCATCTGCATAGTCAATATCGGTCAACTTTTTTGCAGGATATCGGCTTGAGAATATTGGCGATCAAAGTAAAAAAAAAAAAAACCTTGATGATGATGTTTGCCGAGTTAAGTTCTCAGTACGTAGTACAAGGGTGATATCAAAGAGAAAAGGTTCAAGAATGTCACCCTGAAGGACCCCTGCTTTGACGTTGTAGAATCTAGTGTCTCCTTCTGGGGATCAAATAAAAGATTTGATATTTCTCTGTACCATGATTAAAATAGGAGACTGTGATTTAGTATCTTGAGACTTGTTTTCGTTCTACTACGCTTTCTACTATTAAATCTGTAACTATTATAGACCAGCGGGCATTACTTTTTAACTAATCTTTGTAGATGAAGCAATTTAGTCTTGAAAATATTAATACTCTACTGAATTTGATAGTCACTGGGTGTCTCACACGCGTGGCCTTACTTTTAAGAACCGTGATCTCACTTTCTGCGGAAGGCGCTAATGCAGTCTAATCCAAAGTCTATGGCGTGGTTCCCCAGCTTCACCGGATATTATTTATTTGTTTTATAATTCCAAACAACCGTAATTCCGTGCGTAGATACACGGACGCAATGATAAGGAAGCGATGTCTAACGAGAACATAAAGAATCATTGTTGATATAGCGTCTAATTTCAACATTAGATAAACAAGTTTAATATACTGGAATATTCTAAAACCGTATAGAACATGTGTTCTCAACCAGGAGAGAATTCAGTGTTTCAGAGGGGGAGATCTTGTTTTATTTACAGAATTTGAGGCCCATGACTATAATCTTTATCAGAATAAAATCGATTTAAATATGCTTTTATTGAACTTTTTTGTTTATTGAATTACAATACCCAGGCATTCTATTGAACTTTTTGTTTATTGAAGTATACTTCTGTTTATTTATTTAATATTTTGTTATGAATTAAAACAAATTATTGTACATGTATTCAAGTTTAAAAATTCATCAACATTTTCTATTTCTATTAAATTTGTAAAATTCTCTATAAAAATAATCCATGTAAATGTATGTGTCCTAATATGGAAAAGAATGAAGATTTTCAATAATATATGCATATTATTTGGAATGAACCTTTTGAGTTGAGCAATCTTTGAAAGTTTGGGGAATGACATTTTGACATATGGTGAAGAGGGGTGCGTTGAGTATAAAATGGCCGAGAACCACTGACAGAATATTCTCGTTACATATTATTTGTATACAAGGTACAGTCACGGAATTTGTAAGAAAAACGAAAAATGCATTTTAAACAATTTAAATATCTTCTCACGCTAATACTTATTAAAAGAAAAAAATTCTGCATGTAAGTAGTTTTTAGTCATACTAAAAATATTGGCACGTTTGCTCGTCACTCATCGATACATCGAACCGCCACTATAGACAATAAATTTAAACAAGAAAATTTAAAAATCACTTAAAATCCAATATTTGTCCCAGACAAATCAATTAGTAAATTCAAGGATTAATTAACTGGATTTTGTAAACGTAATGCTTACATTCTATTTAAAACATAATGAAAATAATATGTTTATTTACGTACGGTAGCCTGTAATGCCATAAGCCAAAAACAGAAACTGTATAATTTAACCCCTGACTTAAATTAAAGAAATACAGAACACCAGAAGTGCAATAAAGAAATCGGTATTTTTAAAAAAAAAACAAACAAACTTTAATCCTATATAACCAATAGTTTTTTTTTTTTATATTTATACGCTTTTTAAAATTAGTAGAATGAATAATTTTATTTTTTATACAGTGTAACCCGGATATAAGAGAGTTGTCGGGACCGGAGAAGAAGTCTCTTATATCCGGGTTTCTCTTATATCCAGGTTTGGTCTATTTTATATACATTAACACTGGCTCTAATTTGGGACCAGATAAAATCTCTCTTATATCCGGGTCTCTTATATCCGGGTTACACCGTATTACGAAAAAGTATTAAAAAAATAAGTTAAGTGAAAACTAGTGAAATGATACTTTTGGGTTTAATTGCTTTTATTTTTTTTATTATTTTATACCTAATTGACGTTAAAATATTTAATTGCACCTAATTTTTGTAATTATTCTGAATTTAGGAGTTATTGAATTACCGTAATTTCTCGAAAATAATACGCATTTTTTTTTACTGTAAATTACAGGTGATACTAGGGGTGCGTATTATAAATAGGTTTAAACAAAAATATTTTTTACGTTATTGATTTATAATAATGAATACGTTGTTTTAAAATAAGAAAGATATCCCAATTTTCGTTTTAAATTTTCATTTTTAAATAATAATTATAACATTTTTTGTCAATAAATTTATGTTTATCAGTAACCGCATTTTTTTATTTGGTGAAAAAATAAAAAAAATCTATAAAATAACTTGATCGTCTTGCTTTCACAAATTTAACTTTGTTCCATATCTGGATATTGAACTCTTCTTCCTCTACCTATAGCTTTGGCACTTAATTTACACTTTCTTAGTTCATTTTTGTTCTTTTTCCATATTCTGTTTCCTATTCTTTCTGCTAATTCTATTACTTTTTTGTTTAAAATTTTCACTATAACTCGCACTTTTTGACAACGTTTTGGCGGTAAAATAATAAAATGTTATATTTATCAGGAAAACCGCGATGGTAATTTTCAACGTTATTTTAGCCGCTTAGTTTCGATTTTATTCTTAATGTCAAGGTCGACAAAATATCTTCGTAATTATTTTTTTGGCAAAATTTATAGATGCGTATTCATTTTTGGATCATTTCTTGAGTGCGTATTACTAATGGGTGCGTACTATTTTCGAGAAATTACGGTATCGTATGCCATGTTATTCTTCCGGTAGGAGAAAGTAGTCAATCAAATGCAACAATTTAAAATCATTTTGTTTTTTAAAATCCATACAAAAAAAAAAAAAAAAAAATTAACTGTTGCTCAAATAAAAAAAATAAAATGCATTTTTAAAAGTTTAATACACGAAAATGGCATTAATCTGTACATTTTTTTCTATTTTTCAAACATGTCTTTATAGAAGGAAAAATTTTAGTACGAAAAGCAACGGGATGAATTTCAAAATCACACTGAAAAATTACAAGTATTTTTTAAAAAATAAATATTAAGTCTATTTTTTATTCACTCTTAAGGAAAATAATGTTTTATTAAATTATACACGCAGCAATTGTCAGAAAAAAACTTATTTTCTCAATTTTATTGAATTATTTTTGTTAAAGTCAAGTACGAATTTTCTGTATGTTTACACTTGATATTGCATAATTTTGTTTTTTAAATATCTTCAGGGATTTT